AATCTAATGCCTCCACCTGCTACTATAGCCACGCCCAATGTCTCCGCCTGCTACTATAGCCACGCCCCAAAGTCTCCGCCTGCTACTATAGCCACGCCCAATGTCTCCGCCTGCTACTATAGCCACGCCCCAAAGTCTCCGCCTGCTACTATAGCCACGCCCCAAAGTCTCCGCCTGCTACTATAGCCACGCCCCAATGTCTCCGCCTGCTACTATAGCCACGCCCCAAAGTCTCCGCCAAGTCTCCGCCTGCTACTATAGCCACGCCCCAAAGTCTCCACCTGCTACAATAGCCACGCCCCAAAGTCTCCGCCTGCTACATTAGCCACGCCCCAATGTCTCCGCCCTGCTACTATAGCCACGCCCCAAAGTCTCCGCCTGCTACTATAGCCACCCTAAGTCTCCGCCTGCTACTATAGCCACGCCCCAAAGTCTCCGCCTGCTACTATAGCCACGCCCCAAAGTCTTAACCTGCTACTATAGCCACGCCCCAAAGTCTCCGCCTGCTACTATAGCCACGCCCCAAAGTCTCCGCCTGCTACTATAGCCACGCCCCAAAGTCTTAACCTGCTACTATAGCCACGCCCCAAAGTCTCCGCCTGCTACTATAACCACGCCCAAAGTCTCCGCCTGCTACTATAGCCACCCTAAGTCTCCGCCTGCTACTGTAGCCACACCCCAAAGTCTTTGCCTGTTATAATAGCCACGCCCCAAAGTCTCCGCCTGCTACTATAGCCACGCCCCAAAGTCTCCGCCTGCTACTATAGCCACGCCCCAAAGTCTCCGCCTGCTACTATAGCCACCCTAAGTCTCCGCCTGCTACTGTAGCCACAACCCAAAGTCTTTGCCTGTTATAATAGCCACGCCCCAAAGTCTCCGCCTGCTACTATAGCCACGCCCAAAGTCTCCGCCTGCTACTATAGCCACGCCCCAAAGTCTCCGCCTGCTACTATAGCCACGCCCAAAGTCTTAACCTGCTACTATAGCCACGCCCAAAGTCTCCGCCTGCTACTATAGCCACGCCCCAAAGTCTCCGCCTGCTACTATAGCCACGCCCAAAGTCTTAACCTGCTACTATAGCCACGCCCCAAAGTCTCCGCCTGCTACTATAGCCACCCTAAGTCTCCGCCTGCTACTGTAGCCACGCCCCAAAGTCTTAACCTGCTACTATAGCCACATCCCAAAGTCTCCGCCTGCTACTATAGCCATCCCAAAGTCTCCGCCTGCTACTATAGCCACGCCCCAAAGTCTTAACCTGCTACTATAGCCACGCCCCAAAGTCTCCGCCTGCTACTATAGCCACCCTAAGTCTCCGCCTGCTACTGTAGCCACACCCCAAAGTCTTTGCCTGTTATAATAGCCACGCCCCAAAGTCTCCGCCTGCTACTAATAAAAAAGTAGTAATAGTAATAAAATAATAAAATGTACTAATCTGACATTAGTGAGAGGCATTACATAACTATAAACTCATTGAAATGCTAAATATAGCACATAGCAATGAAATGTGTAGTACTGATCAAGGAACCTTGCATGATCTGAAGGACGTCATGCACTTTATTCAGGGCCCAGAAAAAATCACCACTCGTCTCAGGCCGTATCTCTTTGGCAGCCAGATTGTTTTTTGGGCTTTTGCTCAGATGATTTAACAGTCCTATGGTTTCCTAAGAGTAAGAACAGAACATTCACACATAATGCATGCAATAAATACTCGAGAGCGCAGAGTTATGAGAGAGAGAGAGCAGTTATTATGCAGTCAGTGCCTTCATGATGGTGTTCATAGATATGGCAGCAGCTGCTTTAGTTTTCTTGGAGGAGTCAGCCTTGTCTTTATTCGAGAGAATGCGTGGTTTGATGTGTCTGAAGATAGTAATGATGAGGATGTTGATGGGAAACATGAAAAGGCCGCTCTCTACGGCTACCATGAACTCCTGCCACGTCAGCTCAAAAGAACCTGTAAAATTCAAGATATTTTCAGTAAAATAATAAAGACACACACACACACGCATATATATATATATATATATATATATATATATATTAGGGCTGTAAAATGATTAATCGCATCCAAAATAAAAGTTTGTGTTTACATAATATATGTGGGTGCACAATGTATAATTACGTTATATATATGTATATATATGCACACACATTCATGTATATTTAAGAAAAAAATATTATTTATATATAAAATTTTATTCATATATAATATAAATTATACATATATATATATATATATATATATATATATATATATATATATACAGTATATAAATGAAAATATTTACAAGCATGTGTGTGTTTTTATATATAATATATATATATATATATAAACATAATTATTCACAGTGCACCCACATATATTATGTAAACACAAACTTTTATTTTGGATGCGAATAATCACGATTAATTGTTTGACAGCCCTATTATATATATATTATATATATATATATATTAGTGCTGTCAAAATTAGCGTTAACACATGCAATCAATGAATTAATGGCTGTTGAAGCCTAAAAGTTTATGTGTAGTAAATTCAATGTTGAATCAGATCAAATATTCTTTTTCTAAAGCTACTTTGTGTAATGTCTTCTTTTTTAATTTAACACAATAATACATTTAAATGATCTTTCGGGGGTTAATTACTACAAAAGATTAAGTATATACAGGTGAAAATTAGAATATCATGTGACAGTAATTCAACATATACATATGCATGATTATACTTTTCAGAGGGCCGACATTTCTGTATTTAAAATCCCTTTTTTATCAATTTCATGCAATAATAAAATTTTCTGAGATTTTGAATTTGGGGTTTTCATAAGCTGTGAGCCATAATCATCAAAATTATAACTTTTGCATGAGTTTCACCTGTATATATATATATATATATAATAAAATATATATGTGTAATGAACATAAATTAATAAGCAACTGAGCAGAAAATGCTCCTCAAAGCAAGACTGTCTCAAACACGATGCTGTTGAGAACGAGACGTCACATTTGAGCGTTGCATAACCTCAGCAAATGAAACATGCAGCAGAGAGGTTTTCTGACCTATCTTTAGAAGGACCGGAGACTCTTGATCCGTGGGAGGTTCCAGAACATGATGTTAATGGCCATGGTGCAGAGCAGAAGAGACATGCAGCACGAGACCCTCTGCACGCGGGTGAAGGACTGCGCCGGGGCGGGTCCACGATCGACACCCAGATGTGCTCGTCCCGGAAGCCGGAAGATGTCCGGGTCTGGAAGATGTTCCTGGGATGGGGTGGTTTAGTTAGAAAGGTAACATGTATCCAAAATATTTTAACATGTACACTACCACTCTAAAGTTTGATATTGGGTACACTTTTCGATGGCCCACTTTAGACATTCAAGTAACTTTGCAACTAACTCTCATTAGAGTATCAATAGACTGTGATTAACCTCTTATCAAGCACCGGCCCGATTACGGGCCGTCGAGGGCGTGGCTAAACTTTTATTACCTTTTTTAAGCTTTGTTTTATAACAAATATTCAACTGACTATCATAAACTATGCATCATTTGAAAGCTAAAACACTCAAGAATCATGTTCTAAACTTGTTTTTGCAATCAATACAACAGAGAGGAAAGGGTTAAATTAAATGCAAAAGGACCTCTCATTTGAAAATGAGTAAAATGAACCGCTATACTCATCTTTCATCTCGTATAGATACAGTCGGCAACGCGTCATAGTTGGGGGGCGTGGTCGGCGTGGGGGAAAGCAGCGCGACCATCCTATGTATTTGAATGACAAAAATGTCATATTGCGAGTCATTTATGCCTGCCGACCGGCAACGATACATTGCAAATTTAACTGTAATAGGTTATGATTGCCCTTATTTAATTAAAAACTGGGCCAATGACCCAACCAAATGGCCGGAGGTGTCGTTTCCAGACTATTATTAGGGCCCAAGCCCTGAAAGGGCGAAGGCCCTATTGTTTTCCTTGGGATTATTATTCTTTAGTATTATTATTATTTTGCTACCTTTTGGGCACTTTTGGGGCCCTTAACGTGCTCGAAAACTCTTGAAACTTTGCACACGGGTCAGAACCCGCGGCCATCAGAGCCGGGCTGAAGATGATACCCGGGCGTGGCAGGGCAGCTCGTCAGCGCCCCCTGGAACGGGGTCCGAACACTTGGTCCATAACTCAAACACGCTTGTATGTAATAATATGAAACTCGGTACACACGTTGATCTCATCGTTTCATCTATACCTCGCGCTCTTACTTTTTACCCCAGCCCAACAGGAATTTGGCTATTGAGGTTTGTTTGTAAAACGCTCGCAATGGAATGTCAAATACTCCTCCTAGAGCTTTGATCCACATTCGACGAAACTCGGTCAGCGTGAAGTCAAGACATTGAGGATGAAAGTTTGCGAGGGGATTTTTTATATCTCGAACGGTTTGTCCGTGGCGAGGAAACGAAATCATGGCGAGAAACGTGAAACAGGAAGTGTGTTATAACTTCAGCATACATTAACTGATCTTGATGAAACTTCAGCAGTGTGTTCGCTGTAAGAGGACGATCACATGGATGTGACTATTGTGAGTCAAAGTTATAGCGCCACCAACTGGCAGCAGGAAGTGTGTCACTTTCAAAATGCTTAGATATCACCCTTTTATTTTTACCCGATTTGCTTCAAACTTCATATGTATAATGTAAACATACGGCAGATGTAGACCTGTGAATGGATTCTTGATATCTTTGAAACTGTTGCCGTGGCGACGCATCAAACTTTACCCTTCTTTTAGGATGCTTTTTGGATGCTTTTGAGACCCTTAGCATGCTTCAAATTGCATGAAACTCGACAGACACATCACATTTATTAGCCAGTAGACATGTGCAAAGTTTCAGAAACGGGCGTGGTGAGGGCTCAGTAGCGCCACCTTTTGACAAAAGTGGGGTGGTTAGTTTTAACTAGAGTTACAAAAATTGGTATGTATATTGTACTCCTCGAGCCGGACAACTTTCTAATTGACACTTATTAGCTAGGACCCACAGAAACTCAGATATTTTTGTTTGAATATGGCCACTCTGAGCCTTTGGCTGGCTGGCTGGCTGGCTGGCTGGCTGTCTGTGTGTGTGTGTGTGTGTGTGTGTGCAGGGGGAGGGGGCTTAACCATTTCACTGCTGTGTGTATGACCTGCATAAAGAAAATACATTTCTCAAGCCTGGTATTTTTTAAATAAGTTTTTATTTTTATTTTTTATAAGTAAAGGCATATAACTAGTTTAATTGTAGTGAATTGACAATAGTTTTATATAATTAGTTTATTAATCAGATTAACTTGGTCAATAAACTTGGTCTGAAAATTTGGTCCATAAATCAAACACACTTGCATGTAATAATATGAAACTTGGTACACATATAGATCTCATCGTTTCATATATACTTCACACTCTTACTTTTTACCCCAGCCCAACAGGAAGTTGGCTATTTAGGGTTGTGTTTAAAACACATGCAATGTAATTTAAATTATTGCTCCTAGAGCACTGAACCAAATTCGACGAAACTCGATCAGCGTGAAGTCAAGACATTAAGGATGAAAAAGTGCCACGGGATTTTTGATATCTCGAACGGTTTGGCCGTGGCGAGGAAACGAAATTATGGCGAGAAACATGGAACAGGATGTGTGTTATAACTTCAGCATACATTAACTGATCTTGATGAAACTTCAGCAGTGTTTTCGCTGTAAGAGACCGATCACATGGATGTGACTATTGTGAGTCAAAGTTATAGCGCCACCAACTGGCAGCAGGAAGTGTGTCACTTTCAAAATGCCGTGGCAACGAAACAAACTTTAACATTATTTTTTGATGCTTTTGGGACTCTTAGCTTGCTTGAAATTGCTTGAAACTCAACAGATACATCACATTTATTAGCCAATAGACATGTGCAACTATGGCAAAAGATTAAAGTAATGTCAAAAAAGTAAACACTAAAAGCCTCATATCTTCTAAAAATGTAATTATACATCATTTGTTTCTAAATTAAATTATACAAATATTATAACTTCCCCAATTTTTCCCTTTTTTCATTTAAGAATTTTGTTTACGTTCAAAAACAGCCAGAATTGTTGTAAAATTCAGAAAAAAATAATAATCTGAGTCATACGTAGTGCTATACTGCCCTCTTGTGTTCAATATCAGGTAGGCCTATTGTGTATATTAACCGGTTAATCAACGTGTGACTCCGCTGGGACTTGGGAGCTTTTAAATCGCTTACTTAAAACCGAAAGTCAAAATACGGATGTCCGCACAAGACATTAATGGTGTGGAGTAGAGCGAGCATTTTAAATAAATTCCTATTAAGTAGGATTGAACTAAACAGAAAGAATGTTCACTCTGTTCTGCTGGTTCCTCGCTGGTGGATCATATGATTACTTTGTCATAATCTATGACAAAAATGCTATTATAAACTATATTAATAATAGATAATACACATTGCTCTTATTTTTAAAAAATACATTCATGAAAAACAAGATAACAAAAATCATAAAAAGATATAGCCATGGCTGCTATAAATGTTTGAAATGCATAGGACAGATGTTTAATGACGCAGCAACATATAATTGAAAGGCAATTAATAATCTGTCATTACGTCACTGCATTATGATATTACGGCTCTAATACGGTGCAGCACAAAGCACTTATGTGCATCCCGAGCGGAGAATGATGTGCTTGAAGCCACATGAAGTTACAGCGCATTGAGTCCGTATTGAAAAGTTCAAAGCACAAAGGAAATACATATTTATGAACAGTGTATTATACATTATCTATCTATGCAATAGTTTATTGAGCCTTTTCTTTTAAAGGTTTTAAATTTCAGTTACTGTGTGCGTGAAGAACAATTATAGTGCTCTGACTCTAGTGTTGTGATCTAACCGACAGCGTCCGACACCCGGTAGAAAGTAACACGATTAAGTTACAGCAATAAAGTCCAGCAAGAAAAAGTTTCTTCATTCGAAAATATAGACCTTTAGACCTTTATCTTAAAGACCCAGTATAATAGGATTAACATTGAATCATCTTGAAGATCGTTTCATCATTGACTGTAACCGAATGTGACGTGCTGTTTGAATGCTGAATGGAGAATGACTGACAGGCGCAGAGAGGGAAAAGTTTGTGTTCTTGAATTTAATGACTTAAATATTAATTTCTATATCACATAATAGCTTCAGAACACTTATAATACAGTACACAAAAACTTTATGGTACTTTAGAAAGTTTTTGTGCCTTTGTGCCTAACATAGAATAGTATATGCACAATATAGAATTTGAATCAGCCTCGTCAAAGATGGCAGTGTCAGAGCCGATACCGATCCTGAGTATCTAATCGGCGCACTTCTTTTCAACAGTCAAATTGAAATTGAAATTGCTTGAAACTCAACAGATACATCACATTTATTAGCCAGTAGACGTGCAAAGTTTCAGAAACGGGCATGGTGCAAGGACTAAATAGCGCCACCTTTTGACAAAAGTGGGGTTGTTAGTTTTATCTACAGTTACAAAAATCGGTATATACATTTTACTCCTCAAGCCGGACAACTTTCTATTACATAGTCATTAGCTCGGACCAAGAGGAAGTCAGATATTTTGGTTTGAATATGGTGAGCCTCTCTCTGAGCCTACGTCCCTGTATGGCAAGCCCTTTTAACATTTAAAAGCTAAGTTTGCCTGTCCGGAATTAACATTGTAGATATCAACAACGTCTTTCTGTCTATTCGTAATTACATTTTGGATAGTTTGTATTATCATTTAAGATATCTGTAACATAATTGTGACTAGTCGAAATGACAGAGTATGGCAAGCCGTTTTAACATTTAATCATGAAAGGGCCAAAGCCTTCGGCACCGCCACCCGGGTGCCTTTAGGTAACTAAAGGAACCGGGGTTGCGGTGCCACCGGCTTGGGCCCGCCATCGCTGCTCGCAGCTATATTTTTTTTTTTTTTCTTTTATTTTTCTAACGACTATTCGGGCACTTTTGGGGCCCTTAACATGCTCGAAAACTCTTGAAACTTTGCACACGGGTCAGAACCCGCGGCCATCAGAGCCGGGCTGAAGCTGGTACCTGGGCGTGGCAGGGCGGCTCGTCAGCGCCCCCTGGAACGGGGTCCGAACACTTGGTCCATAACTCAAACACGCTTGTATGTAATAATATGAAACTCGGTACACATGTTGATCTCATCGTTTCATCTATACCTCACACTCTTACTTTTTACCCCAGCCCAACA